GTAAACTTGTGTCGTGGTCATAGAAAGGGAAAATGACGCCGTTGTTTCGATCGAGTTCTTCTTCGATGAGTGGGGTTTCGATGGACGCCTCTTCGCGCAACGCGTACATGCGTTCGCTGCGTTTCGTGAAGCCGGTACTCAGGATGCGGCCGTCGTTGACGAATATCGCCTTCTGCGGTTTCACGCCCTCGTGTCCAAAACCCTCCTAAACGAAGTAAACACCTCACGTCTTGAGCGACGGTCCGCGTCATACCTGCAGAATCTCACCCGTTCGAGGATTGATTACTCGCAGCTTTTTGTCCTTGCAAGCGGTCAGGATCTTGCTGCCGTTGTAGTTGAAACATACCGACCAGATGACGTCCGGATGACCGTCGATCTCGATCAGCGTCTCGCCGTTCGAAACGTCCCACAAAAACACTTTACAGTCACCTCCTAAATAAAACAACTGCGTATTTATCAGTAAATTTCGATGCCTCATTCTTAACCATTAGAGAAAAACCTGATTGACTCGAGAAACAGGAATCCCGTTTAACAATGTCTTTCCATGAAGACGGATCGAGGTATGATCCAAAATACGTATATTATATATTCGATATGCTGTGTCATCACATAATGGACTTATCAGATTCTACTGTATGATGAAATAAATTTTATCAGAGGATCATATTTATGTGAAAAGATTGTGGCGTGACGAATGATATAGTAAATAGTAAGAAGGCAGTCACGAAAAGAGTATAATGACGGAAAAAGGCGAGAAGGAGGTGAGGATAACGAGGTAAAGAAAAAACTGACAAGTGCGTGAAAAATTTGCCATATATAAGTTGTTAGAGTTTTATCGAGCAGAAAACACCCACCGGCGGTGAGCAGAATATTGCTTGCCGTCGGATGCCAGACGACGGTCGTCACTCGCTTATTGTGGCCGTGCAGCTCGATCAGCGGGTCGCTCAGCGTTGTCCGCAGGCCGTACTCTGGAATCTGAAACCAACACAGCAAGGAGGCTAACACTGAGCATGTAGCAGGTAGGGGAACGTGATGAGAATGACTTACCCGCCAGACTTTCGCTGTGCAATCATCCGAGCAGCTGGCGATAACATTGTCGTCGAACGGACACCAGGCAAGTTCGAGGCAAGGTGCCTTGTGTGCATCGACCACCGGAAAATCCTTGTCGATCTTGCCGACCTATAATCGAGGCGCGTGTCATGATGACCGAGGCTACAGGATAACTTAGAATTCGTTCACTGCTCACCTTAGTTAATGGTACGACAATGAACGGCCCTCCGGAGCCTTCGGTAATGATGGCGACAAACTTCGGATTCACGGCGCAGAATAAAGACTCCCATGATATGGTCGTTACCCGGATGTTGTCCAGGCAGAACTCGCGCTTCACTGGCTTGCAGAATACGTGGCGGAATTTGCTCGGCCGTACGAACTGCATGTTCTTAGCTCAGCTCACTAAATCCCTGAAAACACAGCCGTTTAAATTTGAATATTTTCAAGCCATTCGGGATACACGCGCCCAAAATCTTTTAAGATATTGACAGGGTTAATAGGGTATACCGGTTCAGTTGTGAGCATATCGACGCTGCGCAATGAAAACCATCCATCATTTATGCTTTATGAACAGTCAGACACCAATCGTAGAACGAGCGAACAGTACTAGTGTAGTGGAAGATGGTAGTCATTTAACGTTAATACGTACTTCGTACTACTCGACAGTGTATTATAAGTACAGAGCTCAGCGGGCGAAAAACCATGATGTTTATCGTACTGATACCGTCTCTCTTGAGTCGGTCTGACAAATAGTCACGGGTTCCCCTTCTTTTCTGAAAGCATCAGCAATACGTGGCGAAACAATCGCAGCTGTCACTTCTCAATCAGGAGGCTCTTTCAGACATCCGTTCTCCGGATCATGTCGAGACACGTGAGCCCAGTGACTTATCTTAAAAAGTTCATTTAAACTGCACTTAAAAAAACTATTAAGATTTTTAACCACTGAAATATCGGTTTCTTTAACACTGCAATGATGGAGTTATTTCTGGCGCCGTGCTTTTCATGAATTTAATGGTGGTGGGTGGCGCTGATTCAGTTTCCATGTAACCAGCCAGAAGCTCCTTACTTTAAAGGAAGAGTAGACAGCAGCTACGAGAAGGGCATAGAGTGTAGTCTTCTGCTTCTTTTCGACAGAGTGGTACTCATTTATCAAACTCGGAAGGAGGTGAGACAAGTGATCCGAACCGGGGCTGGAACTTGGGACCTCTCGGTTTTGAGTTCGACGCAGCACCGACTGCGCAACTCCGGTCAGATCATTGACCAACTGACTCAAAGACCGAGTACGTCGAAAAACCGGTATTGGAGAATCACTTGAAAAAGGCTTCGACTATCTCCGACAACAGCCGTGCTGCCAATCTATCTAATTCTACCAAGCTCGTTGCAAACACACAAAAACAGTATTGAATTAGAAGCATAGAAATCGTACATCACGTGGAGGATAAAAGGTCCTCAGATTATCAGATCGGCGTGGAAACGAACTGAATTATCGTTTCTTAAAGCGTCTCATCTTATTTTCTCCTTATACCCGCATAACTTTAGCCCACCTGCTTCCTGCTGATAGCGCACTGCCTGGGTTTGAAACAAGTTATAAAATTATTTTTCTCAGATAGTAGAATTAAATAAAAATAGTAATAAAAT